GTATTCAGTTTATATTTAAAAAAATTTAAAAAACTGTCATAAAAACTTGTTTGATAATTTTTTTGATTTATAAATGGTTGTCTCAGTTTAAAAATTTGAGGAAAAAACGTAAACTCAAAAAATGAGTTTACGTTAGTTTTTAAACAGAAATTTAAAATTTTGAATAACAAATTTTTTTTCAATTAATTTTTTTTTCAATTATAATGGGTATGATCCCATTATCATAAACAATAAAAAATAAATATAAATATTTTTGGCCTGAACAAACATATTTTTTAATTTATGTTTTTAAAAATTTTCAAACAATTTGTTAAAATCAAACACATTTGTAATTTATGTTTTTTTAAAAATAAACAGAAACTAGCTTATAAAATTTTTGTGAAAATAAACAAAAAACGTAAACGTTATCAAATGCTACAGACATTTTTTTTTTCCTTTTTTTAATATGTAGGATATTTACAAATGGAAAATGTTTGACACCTCAAATTTTTTCCGTAATCTGACTTATAATGTTGTAGTCATAAGTGTCAATTTTTATACAAATATGAGAAGAGAATTAATTAAATTATACAATTCAACCAACCACATACTCAAACTTTAACTACTTCAAGATGTTATTTCACTATAATTATAATTAAGTGAATCTTCAACTCTTAATATTTTTTTTATCAAATTATAATTTGATAAAAATTTAAAAAGATGAAACGTTGAAAATTATTATTTTTTCCATCAAAATTGGTGAAAAGAAAAAAAAAATTGATATAAGAATGATTTTTTTTTTAAATTGATAAAAATTTAATGAAAAAATTAAAGTAATTCATATCTAATCAAAAAATTTATTCAAATTTAAAATTAATTTGATAAAAAAAATTAAAAAAAATATGATGAAAGCTTGAAAATATTTTGAAACCTTCTTATTTGTAAAGACTAGAAATGTTTGTGTGTATTATATTCATATAGTATTTTTAGTTATGAAATTGAAATCAAAAGAAATGTAACTTAAATTATTGAATTAATAATAAAAACATCATATTAATTATTGTTAAATATCACTTCATTTCACATTTAATAATAAAATTATATATTTGTCTTGATTATAACTTTTAAATTTGTATTGTTTGGGGTATTCTAAAAAAGTCAAAAAGTCGCTATCCTATTTAAGTTACATCATCTTATTTAAGTCACATCATCTCTCTACCACATCACTTCAAACCCAACTCATACCCAACTCATATTTCACAAAAAGTCAAAAAGTGCACTTATTTAGATCATCCCAAACCACCCCTTAATCTCATTTAATCAAGTTTAACTTTTTTTAATACAAATTATCAAAATTATACTAAATAGATATTTATATATTTTTTAATTTTTTTAAACTAATAATTTAAAAAGTTATAAACATAAAAATTAACTTATAAATTTCAAATATACCACAAGATAAAATATTAAATTACTTAAAAATATTTATAATATATATTTTTTAAATTTATAAAATCTCGTACATAATTTCAATAAGACATGCCGGCATGACTAATTACATTGGTGGCAACGGACAGACTCGGGCCGGATCCAGGAAAAAAATCCTACCCGATTAACTATATATCCTAATTTGAAGTCGTATTTGATAGATTTGATAATGGCCAATCTGAATTTGAATCCTTCTTACTCTAATAGCTTCTTATTTACAAACCTGCTCCAAATATGATCCTTTAAAAAAATAAAAAAATAAATAAATTTACACTTAGTTTTACATGTCAAACACAATTAATATTTAGGCTGTTTTTATTCATCATAATAGATTAAGGGGTAAATTATGCAAATGATCCATATAATTTACACAATGTGTCAATTTGGTTCATGTTGTTTCAATTTGCTCGATTTTGTCCATTAATTTAACAGATTATGTTATTTTAGTCTAATAAATAACGGTTATTAAGTTTAGTGAATAGAAAATCTACACAATATGTCAATTTGGTCTCTGTAATTTACACAATATGTCAATTTGGTCCTTATTGTTTTAATTTGCTTAATTTTGACGTGGATCAAATTGACACATTATGTAAACTACAAGGATCAAATTGACACATAATTTGACTTCATTACATCAACTCCAGGGAGTGTAATTTAGATGGCTTCAACTTGAGCAATCTCGGATATATTAATAAAAAAAAATCCGAGCTATTTGAGTTTAATTTGAATTTTTTTAACACTTGAACTAAATATTTCTTAGGCAAAAATTTAGAAATATGATTTAAATTTAGGTGGACTTTGGTAAAGACATCAAATAATTGGAAACCCAAATTATATATTTATATATATATATATATATATATATAAATTATTAGTTATCGGATCATGTTAAAGTAATTTAGATTAGTTCATATTGAATATATATACAAGTTTCACAATATAAAACTTCACATTTTTATTTTCTCATTTAGAAATTGTAAAGACTACTATAGTGGTATATTGGTTCTTCAATTATTATTTCTCTCACATTAAAAAATTATTTATTTTGATATTATTAATGATTTTATATAAAAAAATGTAAATAGAGTCTAATTTAACAAATTAATTAACTTAGTTCTACTAAAAAAATTCTAAATTTATGTACAATTCAAACAATAACAAATTAATTAAGTAATTAATTAACTATAAGTTGAATTTGGGTTCTAGCCAGATAGACTTCTCTTTTATAAACTCTTAAGAGATTTTGTGTGTTTCCAAATATCTGGACCTTTATTTTTTTTATCACCAAAAAAAAAAAAATTATTATTGTAAAATCAAAATACAAAATACTGAGTCATGAATAAAGAGATGTGAGTGCAAAAGCATCACACAAATACAAATCCATCATACACTACAAAAAAAATTAAAGTTTTAAAAATCAAAATTTAGGGATAAAATTATTTTATAGGGACCAAATAATTTTGTTACAAAAAGTGTCGTTATTATATTTTTAGCAACAAAAATTAGATATTAGTGATGAATTAATATCCTTTTTTGACCAAATTTTTTGTCTCAAAAAATAAATCATTTTGAGATCAAATTATTTTATTCTTAAGAGTCTATTTATTAGTGACATTTTCAAAATTTTGTCCTTAAAAGGCTTGTTTTTGACTTTTCGGGAAGACCTTTTAACGACTATCCTCACGACGATGGAAATTGGTCCTTAAATGTCTTTTGTAACAAAATTTTCATTTTTAGGAATCAAAATATTTAGTTTCTAAATCTCTTATATGTTGTTGTGATATCTAAGTTAGCATCGAAATACAAACCTAATCATTTTTAGCATTATGCCAAGAGTTGGCAAGCGACTAACCAAAACAAAAAGAGCGGTGCTACACACTCCTACTGTGTTTGATTGGAAAATTTATGATGTAATTTAGAAAGAGAAAGGAAAAAGGCAGATGAAACGTAAATAAAATATATTTACATTTTACCTAATTTTACACAATTTTTTCTCTCTCTTTTCTTTTCCAAATTCCTTACTAAATCCCCCAACCAAATATAATGTCCGACATCTCACTATCATTTCACACTTTAATTGGTTAACATTATAGGATTGACAAAGCATGATTTTAAAAATCGGACCGGACCGGCCGGTTCAACCGGTTGAACCGCCGACCGATTGAGGTTCCGGTCTGGGTACACCCACTGAACCGGTCATAGTGGAAAACCGGCCTATTTTGAGAGAACTGGAAAAACCGGCGGTCAAACCGTCAAACCAGGTTGATAAAACGAATTTTTTGTATTTTTTTGTATTTTTTCTTTCTTTCTTTCTTTCTTATTTTATATATATAATAATAATTTAATTGGAAACTCTCTTTTAAGGGTTGTGAGGAATCCCATTGAGAGCTTGAAATTATTGTGAAAGCTTCTATGTATTTATAAGGAAAAAATTCTTCCTAAAAAACTCAAGAAATCTATGTGGGATTCAATCAAATTTATTGGAGGGAAACTTAAAATTTTAATATCCATCCAAAATTTTTGCTCTTCTTTCAATCAAATTATTTGAATCAAAATCATATGGAGGGAAAGGGAATATTGAATATTTGATTTCTTCTTCTAAAATTAAAATTAATAATATTTTTAAATATATTTTTATATTTTTTAATAAAAAAAGTATTAAGAGAAATATTTAAGATTATTAAAATTTTTAATTTTTAATTTTATTACTTATATTTTTATTTAAATATAATTTTAATATATTTATGACGTCATAGTTCGATTCCGGTTCAACCCGACGGTTGAGCCGGTGACCCGTCCACCCGATTATTTTTCCAGTTCACTCACCGGTCCGGTTTTTAAAACATTGTGACAAAGTATTAACCAATGAGTATTACTATTCAGACTAAAAAATTAAATCTATTTTTTAAACTCAGTAATATAACATTCTATTAAAATATTTAAGTCATTTCTATGTCACATTTGTACTTACATTTGTACTTTAATCATTCACCAATCAATTTATTTATAATCATTGGAACTAAAAAGTTGACCTTTATATCTTATTTTCCTTAAGGAAAATGAGTGAGAGCACTAGGAAAGTGATTGAGATCTCCTCCAATCATCACCCCCACCACCTATACACACACACGTGGCAGATAGTGTTTGGAAGAGAAGGAAAAAAAAAAAAAAAGCAAAAACTAACCAATCAGAGAGAGAGGGGATCAGGGAGTGGGGGAAAAGGGGGTTCGGATCATATTTCAAGAGCACTAATTAGTGCTACCACTAATGATGTAGCAGTAGGCCCTATCCACTGCCACAGTGTTGTTGTGCTTATTTATTTATTTATTTTTTTTAAAATAGATGCCAACACATTAATGATGTTTTAGAGTACCACTTTCAGTGGTTTCCAGCATTACTGTTTCCTTAATGGAATGAGTTAGGTAAGTACACATCGAAAGCATTCAGTCCGATTCGGACTGAACATCATTTTCCAAACAAAAAATACAAAACCCAATCAACAGCCAACCAATACAAAACCATATCCAACCTTAGAGATCTCCTAGGAACAGCAGCAACCATAGAAAGACAAAGAGAGAGAGAAATAGAGGGAAACATGAAGAGGTGTGTGGAGTTTATGAAGAGCAACCTACCATACATATACATGATTCTATGCAATATTTTGGTGGGTGCAGGGACAGTGTTGTTCTCCAAAGTAGCCATTGCTAATGGAATGAACCCTTATGTCTTCGGTGCTTATCGACAAGCTTTTGCCACTCTTGCCTTGGCTCCTTTTTCTTTCTTCCTTGAGAGGTTCCCCCTCTAAAAAATCACTTCTTCTTTTTTTCCCCCTCACCCTCCTTTTGTTATCATTTTTCTTTTTTTAGTTTTTTGTTTTCATTTTTGTGTTTCCACCAATGAAATATTTGAAAACCGTTTTCATTTTCGACAGTTTTTGAAGATTTGAAACAACTTTATATCTTTCCTTAAAAGTCAGGTTTTTTTTTTAATATAAATTTGTTGGAAATTAGTTTGAATATTTTTTTTTTCATTTTCTATTTTTCATCTTTTTTAGAATAAAAATACACTCGTTGTTTTTATCTGTTTCAAAAAATAGAAACAATTTTTTGATGTTTCATACAAAGTATATTGTTTTCAGAAATTTTTCATGAAAACAGTTCGTGAAATAAGTTTTTATTATGTATGCTTAAATTTTTTTTAAAAAAAAGTCACTACACATATATCAATTGATTTTTTTTTTTGGCCCTTTAACATCTGCAGAAAGAACTCAGCTCCCTTGTCATTCAACTTACTCTGCAAGATCTTCTTGGCTTCTATGAGTGGGTATGTTTTTTATTCTTCCTGTCAATGATAAAAAGTTAGATTAATATTTTGTCTTGTTTGTTTCCATGGAAAACATTTTAGTCCAACAAAAGCACAACACACATATATATTGGTGGACGGAGGCACTACAAGAATTTGCACTTTTAGCGACCACTTTCCGCGACTAATATAAAAGTTGGTAGCTAAAAGTTACCTTTTGGCGACCAAATATTAATTAGTCGTGAATGATCATTAATTTTGGCGACCAAATATGAGTTGGTCGCAGAAGGTCATATTTTGGCGACCAATTACAAATTTGGTCGCGGAAGGTCACATTTTGACGACCAAAAAATAAGTTGGTCGCGGAAGATCAAAAATAAGTTGGTTGTGGAATTGGCAACCAAAAGTTTGGTCGCCAAAAACTTATTTTTAGCGACAAAAAATATTTTAGTCGCCGTATATTGAGTTTTGGCTACTAAAACAATGTAGTCGCCGAATGGAAAATAAAAAATTATTTTTTATCTTTTGGCGACCAAAATTTTGGTCACCAAAAAACTTATATTTAGCGACTAAAAATATTTTTAGTCGCCGTATATTGAAGTTTGGCTACTAAAACTATTTAGTTGCTGAATGGAAAATAAAAAATTATTTTTTTATCTTTGGCGACCAAAATTTTGGTCGCCAAAAACTTATTTTCAGCGACTAAAAATATTGTAGTCGTCGTATATTGAGTTTTGGCTACAAAAACTATTTAGTCGCTGAATGGAAAATAAAAAATTATTTTTTTATCTTTGGCAACCAAAATTTTGGTTGCCAAAAACTTATTTTCAGAGACCAAAAAAAAATTAGTCGTCGTATATTTTATTTTTCTGACCAAAAAAAAGTTAGTCGCCAAATTAATACCTTTGGCGACTAATATTTTAGTCGCTGTTAATTAAGCTTTGGCTACAACAAAATTTTAGTCACCAATTATTAACATTTGCTGACCAAAAACTACTTTTGTCGCCAAAGGTGTGAAAATTTTAGAGGGAAACCAATTGTCCCCGCCTGTTCTCTGTTTAAACAAATCAGATTGTTCTCTTTCTCACACAAATTCTCCTTGTCACGACCCAAACCCGCCCCCATAGGTTTAGCATCGTAACCGGCCAGTAATCCTTGGATTACCAAAGGCCTCTTGGCGTAATAGTACATAGCAGGGGCTGCGGAAGCAAATAATTAAGACATGCATAATCCATGGAGCTGTGCAGATATACATGGAACGGTTAATTTAAAATTTTTTTACAACAGTGATATAAACTTCACACATCACTTCCCAACATACATTGCCAGACATTTTGGCCAAACACAACAAAGTATAAAAATAGCTTATCGTGATTACAAAAACAGCCATGAAACTTGATTTCAACGGAACCTCCTCGGGAGGCACAATGGTTGGCTGACAAAACTGAAACTTAGGCCATCAATTCTGGGCCTGGTCGTGAGCTTGCTCACCTACATACATAATATAAACAGTGAGCGACAGCCTAGTGAATAATAACAAAGTAAAGGCTTTAACGAATGGTGTCCATAACTTGTCTCATAACAATTCAGGATCATAAACAGATAGTGAAATAGAATCATAGTCTTGTCCTTATTCAGTCATGTGTGGTACGTCCATTTACTTAAACATGTCTTTTTGGTCAACCATATCAAGTTCCATAAAAGAACCTCCGGTACCGGGTAACATATCTTATACATCGGCTACGGTATTATTTACCCCGGGCGAGGGCCTGTGCCATGGTATTGTTTCCCTCGAGCGAGGGCCTGGGCCACGGTATTCTTTCCCCCGGGCTAGGGCCTTATGACCATGAGCCACAATATTATGTCCCCTGGGCGAGGGCCTCTGCTAAGGATACCACAATTACGTTTCAAAGAAAATTGGACAATCATTCATTCATACAAACATAGCATTTTAGAAACTCATCATCTCATATCATCAGAAAATAATTAAAGTTAAACAAAACTTTATAGAGTTATTACTCACAGGTAATTGGTAGCTCCAATTAGGTGACAAAGTGGGCAATTCACTTATCTCGAGGCGCATGACCTACATAACATGATAGATACATACGTTGAATTCCCACACTCGGACTGAACATAACTTAATCTTAGTGTGTTTCTAGCCTTTAACTTCATTATGGAGTCTTAATCATGACTTAGGAATGCCTAGGATGGAATGAGGATGCAAAAATGTATTTGAAACACTTAGCCAAAATTTGCTGAAACAGGGGTCTCGCTTGAGCATGGCTTTCTTCGCTCGAGCGGACATGACAAATGTTTGTGGTCGCTCGAGCGTGGACTCCTTCGCTCAAGCGATCTGCAAAATGTGAAAAGTACTGGTTGCTGAAAATCTCCACACAATATTCGCTCGAGCGTGAGACATAGCTCCTTGCTCGAGCGTAGGTCTCGTCACTCGAGCGTGCGTCTGCACACGCAGAAACCTGAGAGCTTGCGATTTATGCTTAAGCCAGCGTTCCGTCGCTCGAGTGAAAGTCTGAAAACAAAGGTGGTTGCTCGAGTGTGGAATCCTTCGCTCGAGCGAGGGAGCCGAATGCCGGGTTTTCTAGATTTGCTCCCAAGCTTCGAACCGTGCATCAAACATGCCAAAACTCATCCTTTTGGGCCAGATTTCTAGAAAACATTTAGAAACTTACAACACAACATGTTTTAAAGATCATTTCATAAAATTCAAGACCAAAAGTGTGCCAATTGAACCAAATTTCAATTAAAACTTTATGAACATGACAAGAACATGTCATGCATGAGTTCTCATGAACTCCAAAGCTCCAAAGCATGATCAAATACAAGATTGAATTCAAAAACATGATGAATTCTAGAGTACAACCATAAAATGGGCATGCAAGTAAGAATTTCATGAAAACAACTTCAAAATTCCATGATATAGACATGCATGCATGAATTGATTCTCAATTCTACTCTTTAGGCTATTTCTTGACTTTAGTCTCCAATTTTTCCATGAGCCATGCATGAAACAACTTAATTTCACAATTAAAAGGGTGAATTCTTAACTTAAGTCTCGAATTTTCAAGTGTGGAAGCCTAATCTTCCAAATCCTCTTCAATTACTTCTAAATTCAAGCAATTCTCTTGTTGAATTCACTTTTCTTCCAACTCTTTCTCTCTCTCATAGTTTGTGAAAGAAGATGGAGGCTAAAGGTGTCAAACATCTATGAAATAGGAACAAAACAATGATCTAGAGCGAGCCCACTTAATGGCAAAAGTGTAAATAACCTAGATTCAATTAATTTAACATTATTTATTCTAATTTAATCATTCCAAATTGAATTTTAATTAAACTTACCATGAAATTCTATAATTCCTAATTAGCATAAAAATCGAGTCAATTTCGGAATCGGTCGCCGATAAGGCTTTCAATTCGCAAATTAAAAATCAAAACACGAACAGACCTTCCTATATCAAACAGATAAGAATGCAATTAAAATAACATACTTATGTAATCAATTTATGATTTCATCTTAATCAATTACTTATCATGCTTAATCATGAATTAATGCTAATCAGAGATGGGGGTTGTCACACTCCTTCACCCCCACCTCACTGCCAGTGCCTCTCTCTTTCTCTCTCTCTCTCTCTCTCTCCCCTCTAAACACCCACCGCACCAGCTGGGCTCATCCTCCTTCACCTCCACTGGTGCCTCCGCCGAATCCGAAAGATCGTCGAGATCTGAATCAGATTTGAGTCCTCGTCTCGATTCCTGATCTGTCTCAACCTTCTCTCTACCACACCCCTCGAAACAAGTTTGGTCGTAAAATATTTATTTTTAGCGACTAAAATATAGATAGTTTTGACAACTAAAATTATTTAGTCGCCGAATCAAAAACAAAAATTTACTTTTTATCTTTGGCAACCAAAAATTTGGTCGCCAAAAATTTATTTTTAGCTACTAAAATATGTTTTAGTCGGTGTACAGTTAGTTTTGGCTACCAAAATTATTTAGTCGCTGAATGAAAAACAAAAAATTACATTTTATCTTTGGCAACCAAAAATTTGGTCGCCAAAAAATTATTTTCAGCAACTAAAATATGTTTTAGTCGATGTACATTTAGTTTTGGCTACTAAAATTATTTAGTCGCCGAATGAAAAACAAAAATTTAAATTTTATCTTTGGCAACCAAAAGTTTGGTGGCAAAAAATTTATTTTCAACGACTAAAAAATATTTTTGTCGCCAAAAAACTAAAATATTTTGAGGAAGTCATTTCAAATGATTTATAAAATTAATTGGCGACCAAATTATTTTTAGTCGCCAAAGGTGTGAAAATTTTAGAGGGAAATAACGCCCGCCTGTTCTCTGTTTAAACAAAAACAGATTGTTCACTCTCTCACACAGATTCTCCTTCACAACCAAACCTCATCTCTCTTTAAACCCATTCCTCTCCCTCTTTAAAATATGCAGAACAGAACCACCGCCTCCCCTTCCCTCCGGCGACGCGTCTCCTCCCCACCTACTTTGCCACTAGAACCACGTCTCTCCCTACATCTTCTATTTCATCTCTCTCTCTCTCTCTCTCTCTCTCTCTCTCTCTCTCACACACACACACACACACACACAGTTCTGATTGTAAAACCCTAGCCGATGCTGCGAGATACGGTGGCGTCAGCCATGTTCCAGCGTAGGTCTGACAACCGTAGGCCGAGATCTGAGTCGATCCACACAAATCTGTGAGTGATCCACATAGATTGCAGATCCATACCCCATCTCTGTTACAGCTAATTACCCTTTCCATGGAAGTAGTAGAGTCTTCTTCTTCATCTTCTCTCTCTGCATCGGACAAAATTCATCAACTACCTGGCCAACCCCAACTCAGTTACCAGCAATTTTCTGGGTATGAGACCGTTCACTACAACAAAACTGAGTTTTTACGGCTCCACATTAACGACATACAGTAAATGCAAGCCGCGGTTTCTCACTTTTACGACTTTTTTTTTTTCATGTCGTAAATAATTTCCCAACCACGGCATGTCTATTGCATAGGCCGTGAATGCTAATAATGATGATTTACTTACGGCTTGCAATGTTAGCCGTAAATAAAAAAAAAATTATGACGTGCATATAGCATGTCGTTAATACATCAACTATACACGGCCCACATATACCAGCCGTTAAACATATTTCACTTTTCATGACGCACAATTTATGTCGTTAAATGATATGATCCAAAAAAAAAATAGGTGCCAAAATAAAATGTTGTAGCGCCAATCACCAAAAATATTTTAAAAAAAAAATTCTATTGCTATTCAGCAAATAAGAGAGGGAGAAAAGAAAGGGTTAGAAAAGGAAACTGGTTGGGCAGCAGTGAGACTTCGACCTAGAACGGTGCTATCTCTTCGGCAGCAAGACTGGTTCGGTGCCAGCAGCGATCAACGATTCGAAAGAGAATGGTTTTCTTATTCTTTTCTCTTTGCTTTGATCTAGGTATGTTCGGATTTCCCCCTCTCCCCCTCTCTCTCTCTCTCTCTCTCATGGTTCTGCGATAGCAGAGGGGCTGGGAAGGAGTAGTTGGATCGTCGAAGTGGAGGATAGGCGAGGAGATTGCTGAGTTTGGTCCTGGAGGATGGTTACCAAAGGGGTTGCTAGGGAGAGGTGAGGGGAAGGGAATGAGAAAAGGGGAATGATTTTTTGTCTTCACAATGAGATCCAGTACGAACTCGACTCTCTCCTCCCTCTCAGGTACTCCTCTAATCACTCCAATTTTCTATTTGTTTCCCAAAAAATTACATAAAGGTTTTTTTTTTGTTTTTTTTGATGAAAAAATGAAGCAAATAGTCAATGTGGGGTTCTTTTCTCTGTTTGGTTGCTGAGAATTTGAGCAATAAATATTCCATTGAATATTGAACGTTATATGAACTGAATTTTTTTATGCAAAATTACTAATGCATGAAAATTTACATTTGTCCCCTTCATTATTCAAATTAATTTTGTATTATAATTTTATTTTATTTTTTTTGTTCTTTTGTGATTTTATCAATTTTTCGGAAAGATCTCAAAGTGTATCACAATAGATGAACTGATATTAATTGGTAGTTCCAGTCTTCCAGCAGCTAATTGCATAGACCCCACTGATGTACAAAATGGATGCTAATGGCTGAAACCCTAGGGTTAAAATCAAAAGGCTTTCAAGGCTTCTGCAAGAAGCATACCAAAACCATCATTGAAGTGATTCTAGACAGTCTTAAGCTGTGTGTGTTTACTTAAAACAAAGCACTAGAAAGCATCAGTGGGCATCATTCTAGTGTGCTTTTAGAAGCTTCTCATTAATGAGGTTGTTTTCAAGTGCCACGCATTATCTGGTAGTTTCATTGGGATCTATTGGACTGGAAGTTGAAATTGGGCATGTATTGTTATAGATAGAAGAGTTTTGGCTCAAAGAATAGAAAATTGGGCATGTATTGTTATAGATAGAAGAGTTTTGTTGCAAATGAAGCTCTTTGAAAGATTGTTTCAGGCATAGTCTGAAAAATACAAAAATGAAGATTATCACAACATTAGATAAAGGAATACAAGAGATGAGGAAAACTTTTGCATTTTTATACTAGATATCCTGATATTTTAAACATCCACATTCGAAACTTGCACAAGAGATCTGTAGCTATGCAAGTCTTTGAGCCTCTTTATTCCCTTCTTTTTCATATCCTGCCATACAAGTCTTTGTGCCTCTGTATTCCGTATTATAGTATCAAATTATTCAATTTGAGAGTTTTCAATATAGTTACCTTTCATCAGGATTTGTGCGAGTTACTATTTTTATGCTAATCTAAACTTCTAAGTAAGTTTGCTACAATATATTTGTCTAAATCTGATGCTTTAGGCTATATTCAGTTGAGGAATCACATAATTAGAATGTTTATTCTGTGCTGTGTTTGTTATTGCAGTTGGTCCCAACTCTTGGAAAAACTTGCTCTTCCAAATGTAAGGACACGTATCCCTTGAAATATTTTTGAACTTTATGCTTAGCCTCGTGACCATGCACAGGTATATGGTTCTTTGATTTTTGCAAAACTTAGTTGGTACTTATCATTTTTTTATGCTGAAATTCTATGATGCAGATCAAGTGGATATGCCCAACTGCTCCTACTCTCCCAGTGGCTATACTTGGTGGATTCCCTCGCACTGCATGTAAGATTAAAGCTTAGATTTCTTCCAATGCTGAGATACTGATACAATTATCTAAAGTTCTTTTGTTTTTTCGTGTTAGGGTTTGATGTTGGAGAACTTTCAGAAGATAGTCCTGATGATTTCGAAGGTTTAGATGCTACAGAGCCTGCTAATAGTAAGCTTCTGCCTTGTTACTTCATTGATTATAGGCCATTAAATTACTTAATTTCCATGTGTTTAGTTAGTAGTTCATTTATCTATCATGATAAAAAGTTTCATCAACTATCATGAATAAATTACCACCGTGTTGTTTAGGAATTCTATACTTTTTCATTTATTTATTTATTTTTGTATTAACTCATTTATAGTTAAACTTGGTATCGGGGGTTTTAGTATGGGTGCTGCAACTGCCCTCTACTCTGCAACTTGTTTTGCCTAGGGAAAATATGGAAATGGGATCGCTTACCCTGTTAACTTGAGGGCTATTGTTGGTCTAAGTGGTTAGCTTCCTGGTTCAAGGTATTAATGCAATATCTTCCTTCTCATTTCCCCTTTGTTCCTCTGTTATATGTACTGTTTTCCCAAGCTGAAAATAACCAATTTACCAAATAAAATAAGATTCGTATGAGATGATTCTGAAATATCTCATTTGATAGCTCCCTCTGGCCATATTTGGAATTGTTTTCAAACTAATATTATATTGAGTTCCAAGGTGACCAAAATAGCTAATAATAAGTTTTGTACAGTGTCATCTCAGGTAGGACTCACTCATTGTTGATTCATAAATCTTTTCGCAAGTAAAGATGTAATGTGTGCACCTTATAGTGCTCTTCAAAATATTACCATGCTTATTAGTTAACAACAAGTTTATGTAGGACGTTGAGGAACAAGATAAAAGGATCACATGAGGCTGCTAGGCGTGCTGCATCTTTGCCCATTTTGCTCTGTCATTAAATCTGTATGTATATTGCATTTTGGACTCCCTTTTTTTTAAAAAAAAGTTTTCTTGGGAATGATAAAGTTCTTTTCTCACATGTTGTTCGACTTCATGCATATAGCTTCAAACTAGTGCGAACTAGCAAACTGTTGCTCTTAAAATTTGAGTCTTCAATTTGCTATTTTTTTGGTATTGGGACATCTACTGTAATTACCAGCTTGTCGTTCCTATTCACTGATAATTCATAGTTGGTAGAATTATATACATGAAAATTTTATTCCCGAGGATCCTTCTCAACCTCTCATTGGAAACCTACATGAGCATTAAAATCCCTTTAAAAAAACTCCACACTCAAATTGCAACCAAACACATAATCCAAAACTCAATTCAAAAATTATTTTCAAAACTCATAACCAAACACATACCTCGAAACTACACACTATTTTCAAAACTTTACACTCAAATCGTAACTAAACACATAGCAAAAAAATTAAAATTTTTAATATTTAAAATATTTTTAAAAAATACAGCACACAAATGTATGAAATATAGTGCATATTAAAATAAATAAATAAATATTTAAAATATAAAATATTTACCCTAAAAAAATAAAATTAAGAAAATTTTTAAATATTTAAAAAACTAAATCTAAAAAATTTCAAATACAACTCAAAACTTTTTTCAAAATTCATAACCAAATAAATTTTCTCTTTTTAAAACTCAACTCAAAACTCATAACTCAAAACATGACTCCACACTCAAATCATGATTCTAAAAATAATTTTAAAAAATAAAATAAATTTTTTTTTTGATTTTTTTTTTAAATAGTGTTTTGAAAAGAGTTTGATACTCTTCCTCATCAGCGTAATGCCCCCTATGGGGCATTGAGATTTTTTGGCTCTACTTCAAGAACTCATATGAGTGGGCTTTGTGTCCCTGTTTAAAGGGGTTGATGGTGAAAAAAAGAATAGATTTTGGGAGGCTAGCTTCCTGGCTTGCTCCATACTGGGTCCCTTGTGAGCAGAGGCAATGAAGTGGACATGGGTAAAGAGCGTAAAGAAATTAAGGAAACGAGATGAATTTCTTAAAGCATCTTTGATAATGGTAATTTGGCCCATTTTATAGGTTTCCATGCAGAGTGTTGGGTGCTCTGAGCTGTCAGTATTGTACTGCCACATTTTGGGGTTTATTTGTTGGTGCTCTTATCATTTTCAGAGATGGAACTTTCATCACCTTTCAATGACTTTTTCACCATGCCAGCATTTGCCATACTTTAGTTATGGGCCTGCATCTCTGCATTGTGATTTAATTATACAAAAGGTGTCATACATTTTTACACCTTGCATGCAACCTAATATATTTTAGGAAAATGTTTAAGACCCCAAAAAATGCTCTCCCAATTTGATCCACAATGATGTGCACGATAGATGTCAATTTTTGATTTGTCACACATTCAAGTACATAGGCCCAACTCCCTTGCCACATCATTACGGATGAATTTGTGGGTCTAAATTTTGAAGTCTCTAGCATTTCTCTACATTATGTATAAGAATTGATTTGGCTTACAAGTTATATAGATGATACCCTTACAAGTTATATAGATGATTTGGCTTCTAAGAATTGATTTCATGTGATTGTGTGCTTATTGGTCCGCAAAAACAAATATGTTGTATTTGGAGACACCAATTGGAGTTGGGTTCTCTTACTTATTTGATTCTTCCTCCTATGCAGCTGTAAATGACAAGATCACAGGCATGTCTCTCCAATTTTACCCACATTTTCCCAACTTTCTTCAATTTTCTTGATTGTTTGATTGTACCATACTCTGTTTCTTGTTTGATTGTCAATTTGTCTTCTAGGGTTTGTGTTCATTTCTTTTAATCAGTTGATTTTGATTGTGGAACTTTATTATTATATGTATGGTGGTTGAGTAGACCTTTTTTTAGATTATGAATTTAGCTTTGGTTGTTCAATTTTGTGAGATATAGGGGTGTGATCCTACTTTAAATTCTTAGTTCCTTTCTTTGAATTAGGTGTTTGGAAGTAGTTTCTTTGTTTACCTTTAACACACTTTACACTGGCATAACTGCATATTTTGGTGGCTAAGATTAATACAACTGCAATCATTGCTAGAATTGTAAAGCTCACACCATCTATCACTTGCTTGCTCCCCCTCATTTTCTTTTGTGTTTTTGAATATCTTTTGTCACCTTTGATCACTTTATTAGTGGTAATTATTTTTTCTCCTGATTATGAATCTAGGTTTGGCATATATTTAGCTTCTACTTATTGTTTTGTTCAAGATTCAATGTTTTACTCTTACTGATTTTTTGGCATTGCTGGAAATGTTAAAGGATGCAGTGAGAACTAAGACATACCAAAATGTTATTTATAAAAATAATTTCTTGCTCAAGGACATAATAGTCCTTGATGTGGGTGCCGGGACTGGAATTTTGTCACTATTTTGTGCAAAAGCAGGGGCAAACATGGCACAAGAGATTGTTAAAGTAAACGGCTTTTCAGATGGTGATGTCACTAGGAACAATGAATTTCATAATTTTTTTCAGTTTTTGCTTCTACTTCTTAACTGATTTGGCCTTTTTATGTTTTCTCATTTTAATTACTATAGTTATTACAGTTTTGAATGGAAAAGTTGAGGAAATTGAGCTTCCAGTTGCTCAAGTGGATATCATTATTTCAGAGTGGATGGAATATTTTTTATTGTTTGAGAATATGTTAAATACAGTCCTCTATGCTCGTGATAAGTGGCTTGTAAATTACACTGCCCCTTTTTCTTTCTGAACAACCACTTTGATGCTATTGCTAATCTGGATGTAGTAGTGCAATGTTTGGTGGTGGAGTTAGTTTGTTTTTCTATTTTTTTTTTTGGTTTTGTTTTGTGTTTTTATTTTTTATTTCATCATGGAAGATGTTATTAGAGTTTAATTGGTCTCATCAGCTTGAATTTATTATAATTCGTTAGTCTTTACATTCTGAAAGTTCAACTCTTTGACTGGATCAGACGCCTTTTCTGGAATTTTCAGTGCTTTTGTTTAGAAATTTTATAGTGGTGGAAGCAAATTGATAAAAATTTTATAGTGGTGTAAATTTTATAGTGATTTTATATGCTCATAAAAATTTCTGTTTGCTTATAATCCGTTTTCTGGTTAAAGTCATTATATTCTAAGAGGACTATCTTGAGTTGGGTTGTAATTTTTTTAAGTTACAATTTGATTCGTTTGTTTAGGAATTTTGTCTTGTTGGAGTTAAGTCTTACATAGATTCTACATCAAGTGGGAAAATTTATTTTTTACTCTTTTTGTTCTTCTTTAGGGTTTTCTAGCATCTTCATGATGTGTTCTTCTTTAGGGTTTTCTAGCATCTTCATGATGGGTATTGGATGTGAAATGAGATTTACGCAAGTCCTCAATTGTTTTGGCCAATAGTAGTAGAGTTCAATGTTAGTTTTGTCTTGGTTAATGACCGACTGTGGAACAATGGAATTGGTTTGATTTGAGTGTGGTTTTTGGATGAACCGTTGTTGAGCATGGCATTTTTTCTCTTCCTTTTCGATTTCATTTGGTATTAGAATGGAGAGGTTAATCAGAAATTATGGTGTGACATTGTGGCAAAGTAAGCCCTGCTATTTATTGAAATTCAGGACAAAAAATTAAAAATTTGTCTGCATGCTTTTCTCATGGTTTTACAAATTTACTAAAGCAAATAATAATGGGGTGTCTATGTTGAAACAATTCATTTGATTGTCAACTGAATACTGATAGAGAAACATCAGGTTTTGATGAGATTCTATGATTGTTATTTTACTGTATTCTTGTAGGGGAAAAGTGGCAGAAGGTATTGATTTTGAAAGACATTATGGTAGACTTGTTATCATGTTTGGGGTCCCTTTTCAGTATACATTAAGCAGGTGATTTGCTACGACTGTTTTGCAGCCTTGGTACTTGAAAATATCAGCAGCTGTGTCCAAATATGTTTATGAAGTTCATTGCCTAGGCATGTTGATCCTTTAAGCTTTATTTTCTTGATTGTTGCAGAGTATTGATTGCACGTTTGGAGTATTAGAGGGAGACTTTCCAGATAAAGGAAGGCGATTTTCTGACTTTTGACGCTCTGGTATTTTTGTACTGCACGTGTTGGCTGTGTGATAATTATGTTTTTTTTTTTTCTTCTTCTTCTTCTTTTGGAAAAATAATTATGAACTTCAATAATGGGACTACATTTATTCAGAGACAAGCTGCTCAATGTGTGGGGCGAGTTATCCGTTCAAAGGCAGATTATGGGATAATGATTTTCGCTGACAAAAGGTATTCTTTTTATGGAATTATTAATACTGGTCCTACTTCATGTATACAGTCCTGGGGTTTTACCTATCAATCAAAGATATTATGTACCTCAGAAGTGTAACTAAATAATCAAAAGTTCGTGACAATCAAATCCATGTTTGGCATTTGATTGCTAAAAGTAGATTCTGCACTTTTTGTTAATTTAGATTGGTCTTCTTATTAGCTTCATCTATCGATAAATAATTCTAAAGTACTAAATTTAGATAGCTTGCCAAGCTAAATGGAAGTTGTGAAATTATGTTGACTGAACAGTCTACCAGTGTCATTGTTGGCCATCCAGTCTGTGGGGAACCAACAAAAATGTTGGGAGGATATTATTAAGGAACATTTGATGGAAGAAACCTTAGTGCCAAATGCATGCAAGCTGTAATTTGATATTCTTAAGTCTATTGCTATTTGCTAGTATGTAAGGTACTGTCTACCAAAAAATTAAGGCATCAAGTTTGTAAAGCATGTTAACTAGATTTTGTTTCATCGTGGCAATGCCTGGAGGATTCACGGTTAACCATTTGTTTGGAAAATTAACTTGTCATTTTTGGGGAATTTTATTCCTTTTATGCTCTGATGACCATCTCTAATTTGTTCAGGTACAGCCGTCATGACAAACGTTCTAAATTGCCTGGATGGATACTGTCACATTTACGTGATGCTCACCTAAACTTGAGTACTGATATGGCTATGCATATAGCACGAGAGGTGTGTGCTTATTACTATGCAGTTCTTACATTTTTCATAGGGAATGCTTGCAGGTCTATGTCAGTATACATGAGGAACAGTTCTAAATAACAAGGAAACGTGATTAGGCTCCCCTTGCAACTGATTCCTCTGTGGAACAATTTTAAATGTAGAAATAATGACTGTTATGAAGCTAAAATTGAGGCCAGATGGGGTAACATGGCCAGTTTTTTGTTTTGAAAAAGGACCAATTTAGGTGTTGGATTTCACTTTTTTCCTTTATTACATCTAAACTAGAACTTCAAATATTAGTTATTCTGAAATTCAGTGTTGGAAGCTTAAGATGGCTTTGACTGAGTGCAAACTGACAATTTTAAATTCAGTAGTGTTGAACTTGAGTGTATTATTATTGTTTTATTCTTCCATATGTGCAGTTTTTACGGAAGATGGCACAACCCATTACCATGCTGTCAATTGCCTCTGTTTTCACTTGCCTTGGTCACTGAAAATTGTGCCAACCTCCAGACTGCCCTTACTTCAACACAAGGATCTGCTGGTGAGCTGCCAGCCACTAAAACTGGCCGGCCGGCTAGTGCCACTGGCTGGTCGACTAGTTAAACTGGCTGGTCGGCTAGTTTTTTCTGCAGGCTGCTGGTTTTGCTGCAACAGAGAACAATAAAGGCACATCAATGTATTTCTAAGACAATATGTGTACTACCACACTTCTTATCATGTCTCAAGCTCAAAGGAGCGTGGCACTCGGCTCTCAAGCCACCAACCAAGCACCTCAATGCATGGTGGCCGAGGAACAAGCTTGCACCATGTTGATGAATGCACAAACAATACACAAAGAGCCTCCACCCCATCATGCATGGTCAAGGGTGTTGGCGACCAAGAAATGTGGCACGTTTCATCACTTCGAGTATGAAACATTGTAGACACCCCATTTTTGACCGCCTTTAAGACTTGGGCGCTACTGATTGCTTACTCGATGGTGCAAGCTATGCTATGCAAAGATTCGATTTCTTCGGCAAGGAGAGCGTCAAATCCCAAACCTCACACACCTTTTTGGACCAAAGCCTTTTGACTAAAATGATTTTTAGACCTTAAAACCCTCTTTTTCAAAATAGTGTTTGAAAGAGTTCCTACGATGTTCCGACACTCGCATTTTGTTAAATGTTGCGCTTTTCGGTAAACTGAGCAAGGACAAAGTGGAAATGAATGAAAGAGAGGTGAAATCTTTGAAAAATATTTCAAAACACCTTAGTTAGAGGTTTGGATTTGAAGAAAATGAGAGGAGAGGGAAGCAACCTAGTTGGGAGAAGAAGTTGGGCATAAACCGTTGAGAGAGAGAGTCGAGCAGCCCTTGCTAAATCAGGCCTATCCATTTGTACACTTGCATTTTAGTTATGAGGCCACCACCGTTGGAAATTGGACTTCCGGGGCTTCATTTTGCACTCAAGAATCTCCTAAAGTCGAGTCCGGATGAGGGAGATATGGCCGGTTGAAGTTGGGCATCAATTCGATTGAGCTGAAACTGAGAAGTCTTCACTAAAAGAAGGATATCTCTTAGCACTTGGAATTTTTATGTGAGGTTGGCACCATTGGAAAGAAGACTTCCGGGGCTTCAATTTAGGCTCAGGAATGACTTGCAAAAAAGTCCAGATGAAGGAGATATGCCCATTTGAAGTTGGACCTGGAAAGCAGATTTTTGCTGTTGGCCACCAAGGGTGGTCGATCGGCCAGAAAAGTGGCCAGTCAGCCAGAAAAGTGACCGGTCAGCCACTTATGTCCCAAACTTAGATATTTTGCAGATATTTACCTCCAGTTGTCTTCCACAAGCTCCAGCTGTCTCTAAATCAGATATTTCGACCTTGAGCTCTTGTATTGCTATCTATAGAGGTCATATCTCTCATATTGCAAGGTTACAAAGTTTGGGAGCCTCTCTCTCTCTCTCTCTCTACAATTCTCTCTCTCTAGATCTCTCTCTCTCTTTCCCTTTTATGCATACAAGTAGAAGTACACCTCTCATTTGCCTGGAGATTCTTAACCAAAGTTGCTTACCTTTGGGCTGAGATTACTTGGAGTCTTCTTTGAGCTCTAGAAGAAGGATTTAGCTTGATTTGGTGCCTCATTTGTTCCTAAAGTGTGTTGTGCTTCAAAGGTATAGAACTTACCATATTTAAGCTTGTTTTGCATGCTTGTTTTGCCATCTTTTCAAACTGCTTTTGGCCTGGTTTTCAACTACAAAAACCTCTATTTTTCAATCCTAAAAATAGTGGTTTAAGGCCTTTTTGCGTTGAGGGGTGGTCCACCCTTCTTGTTGCCTAATTGTGTAAGCTTTTGTGCCATTTTTCAAGGCCTTTAATTCAAACTTTTTGGGCCTTTAAACCATTGAAATTTAGAGTTATTTCAGTGGTAAAAAGTATGTTTTGAAGTCCAAAAATGGAGGGGTTGGCCTCCCCTCCTTGTGTGTCACTTGTATGCCTAGTTAGCATCCTATGGTAGCATGTTTTTGTGGTTTAATTTAGCTTAATTCCAGCATGTCTTAGACTTTATTTTGGACTGCTTTAGCTGTGTTTTGAGCTGCTTGGCTCAGTTGAGTCTTGTTTTGCATAGTTGTAGTGCAAATGGCTTCACTAGTTTAGTGTTTTAAGCCTTTAAACATGTTTTGCTTGAGATGATTGCATGTTATAGTGTCTTTTAACATGTGATTTCAGTGTATACAACTTTGTCACACTCTCACTTATTTCACTCTTTCATTGCTTTTGAAAGTTGTGTCTTGAGTCTTGTTTGCAGCCTAACATGCGAGCATGTTTTTCTACCTTTTCATGCCTCAATTTCAGTATGTTTTAGCCACTGTTTTGGCATGTTTTTAACTCTGTCCAGAGCTGGTTTGGTTAATTGAGCATTATGTTGCATGCTTATAGTGTCGTGCTCTTCACTAGTTTGATGCTTTAGGCTCTTAAGTACCACTTGCATGAGTAGGTTGCATGATTTAGTGTCTTTTGTATGCCATATCAGCACTGAAATGTCTCCAACCTCCCTTTATTCTTCACTTTTGAATTTGTTTTGAAAGTGGTCTTGAGCCCCTTATTGGCTTAGGTGTGGAATTGAGGCTCTCATTCCTAATGGTTTTAATTCTCCCTTGAGGGTTTCTACTAACCAATAGCATGAGACCACTTTCATGCTCAAAGCACTTGTGGCTTAGGCCCTCTTTCCAATTAGAGGACTTTCACTATGGACTTAATCGGTTAAAGGACTAATCGGTAATATAAAATGTGTAAACAAAACATGACAAGTAAAACTTGAGCAAGATAAACATGTCGTGTTGCAATGCGTGTGTTCGGATCGGACGTTAATCCGAACACAAGAAAAATGGGACGTTTCATACTCAAAGTTATGAAACGTGTCACTTTTTCTTGGTCACCATTACCCTTGATCATGCATGATAGGGTAGTGGTCTTTCGAGTCTTATTTGTGCATTTATTAAGCTTGTACAAGCTTGACTCTTTGGCCATCATGCATTGAGATTCTTGGTTGATGGGTTGAGAGCCAAGTGCTACACTCTTTTGAGCTTGAGAAATGATAAAGAGGGTGGCAGTACGCACATTTATTGAAAAATGCATTGCTTTGCCTCTGTTACTCTCTGTTGTAGCAAAAACAGAAGTTTGGGAAAAAAGGTGGCCGACCGGCCACTTGAGGTAGCCGACCGACCACCTAAGCTAGCAGACCGGCCAGTTAAGGTAGCCGGCAACCACTTTTTGTGGCCAACTGGCCACTAGTGAGTTTTTTGTGCAACAGTGTTCTTGTGTTGGAGCAGAGGCAGTCTGGAAGTTGGTACAATTTTCGGAGATCAAAGCGAATGCAAACAGAGGCAACCGATGGCAAGGCGATGGATTTTCGAGAGGAAGTCAACTGAGCATGCATGTTTCCCTCGCTCGCGAGGCCATTTTAATTGCTTTAATAGTTAGCATAACTGATTATTCAATTCATTTTGCAATATCTTAATTAGTTAGCATAACTAGTTATTCATTTCAATTTGGTTTGTAATAATTAGTTAGAATAGTTAATTAGTTTCAATCGTGTTGTAATAGCTTAGCATAGTGTAGCTTAGCTTATTTATTCGGACCCTCATTCGAGAGGGCGCAATGTTGTAATAAGTGTGTGTGTGTGTGTGTGTATGTCTTCCAACCCCATGTCTTTCTCTCTTTTACTTAACCGCTTTCAATGGTTAGTTTAGGAGCATGTTTCAATTAGCATACCTTATGCTTGCATGTTTGCATCATTCATTTGTCTTGCATGCACCGAGGCTCGGCGCATCATTCAAACTGTATCGTATTGCAATACTTTTTTGAATACGTGTTTAATAGCATGTTGTTCAAATCAAATCGTATGCCATATTAGTAGTCGAGCCTATTAATTTCATATTGCATGTGTTGCATTAGGCATGTTGTATAGTTAGGATCATGCATATTTCTAACTAGCTTTTGTTTTGGCTTAGAGTACTCGGTAAGTTTTTTGCGCTTTAGCATGCTTGCATGAGTGCGATTACCATGATGCCATGCTTCGCATGCTTGCCATGAGGCTATTTGCTTACGTGCTAAACTACATGAATGCCTGTGGATAGAGACTTTGTTGCTTGAATTGTAACAATTCAACGAATGAATGTTTTAAGCCCACTTTGCGAAGTGGCAAATCATGTTTTAAGCCCATCATGTTTGATGGCAAATCCGCGCTTTAGCCCACTTGAGGGTGGCAAATTCAAACCATTTTCGAAAGCAAACATGAATTGAATTTGTTCCAAGTCTTGCGACTTAGTCTATACTTGCTTGTGTGCGTCACATAGTAAAGTTAGCTAATAATCGGAATAAGAACACAAGAGGTTTATAAAACAACATATCATGTTTAGTATAGGCCAATCTTTGATCGGGCGAGCGGGGGTGCTCATTTCAGGACCTTCCCCTCTCGTACCCAAGTTCCCGAGTCGAGGCAACTTTGGTGATAACGGACACGTGGCCTTTGGCACGAGTCAGGGTTTCCTAAATTTCTCAAAAACAAAATATTTAGGTGGCGACTCTATAATCTGGCAAAGCAGTCTAGTTTTGGCATTATTTGATTCAAAATCGATTTTCCAAAATGATTTGCCGGATTGGATTCTTTAGTGTTTATCAATTTCATATTGCACTTTGTGAGATTAGATTCAGAACTGTGACAGGAGTCCGAACTGTAGGACCAATTCGAGCTCTCCGAAAGGGGGTGCGAAGAAAGTCGAGTCCACAGTTTCTGGCGACTCTGCTGGGGATTTAGAGAACTTGACTCAAACTCATGACACGATGTTTTATTTACACTTATGTGTTTCTTTACATTACATTTGCATTGGTGTGCCTAAGTCAAAGTGTTTGCCATCTGTTATTCCTGAAGGGTTTATCGGAGGCTTGCTTGGAAAAGCGTGCCA